AGTACTGGACACTCCCCGTTGGCTTCAGTTGCATTGTACATGTGACCTCAATTTTCACATGGTTTTTGACCATTCCATGTAGGTTAGTGAATTCTATCACACCAATACAGTTTCACCAGCCTTTGATCATCTTCGATTATGCAGTGAATTGATTTGCGTTACTTTGAGCTTCTTAGCGTGATGTTTCAGGGCCTTGACTTCCTCTGCAGTCTATATATTGTTTAAAGAAGTAGCGGCCATGCGTCCTGTAACTCACCCGTGTGTTCGACCAGTGACTGGTACCACATCCTGTGTTCGACCTAGTGGAGAAGGCCGTCAACATGGGTATTCTGATAACTTGCGACCATGCTTGTCTTCGCCATAGGGATCTACCTCAAGCCTGCTGCTACGCCGCTAACACCTCCCCAACGGTGGGCGCGCTACGCACAAGAAGAAGTCCCGAAGCTTTGCAGCGACTTACTGCAAGCGCATGCGCCGTTTTTTTTCTACGCAGAAGATGCGCAAGCCCGGATTGACGCTGCCCTGGACCTGGATGACCACCACCAGTGCCAGAAAGTCAAAGGCGGTCTTGAGGCAGTTGCCCGGTAGGCTCTGGTAGCCCCCTCTGCACCCGCCTGGCCTCCTTGCGAATGAGGTCAGGGACCGCCTGTTGAAGGACTGTTTCTTGGTGGTGCATGACGGCCTGGAAACAGAGCTTCACAGAGCTATAGCCCGCCCTGCGCATGGAGGCCCCCAATCAGCGCAGATTGTCAGCCAGGTCCGAACCCTACCACGGGTCGCTCGGGCCAACATGTTGGCCTGTACATCTGCGCCCGGTTGTGGGGGCGCCTGCAGGCGTCCGAGGTTGAGCCGCGCGGGGAAGCTGTCAGGCGAGTCCATGGCGAGCACTCTCGGGATGTCGCCCAGGCAGGCGACCCCCCCCTGCCAAAGTGCTGGCAGGTGCTCTTGGAGCCCGAGCAGGACCGCCTGCTGCACGAGTTCTCCAAATGTTCCAGGCAGCATGGTCGCCATAATTTGGCGGTGCTCGGCGCCCAAGAGTGGGCTTTGAGCCAGAGTGCCCGGCTTCGAGAGCACCCGCACCAACTTCCAACTCCTCCGGGACGAACACCAATAAACCACCGCCCAACACCAAAGGCACACAGCACCATGGAACCACGTCGACCTGTGACCTCCACACAGTGCGCCTCCCCTGACCACGCCCTCCTCCAAGCAGACGAGGGGGGCGAGAGATCAAAGAATAGATGCGACTCCGCTGACCACGTCCACCGCCGAGCGAAGGCTCTTCCGAGCACGCCCTGTCGGGCTAATGTGCCACGCATGGAGCGGTAGCAGGTCGCCCTCATGCAGCTGCGCATGCAACCGGACAGCGCCACCTTAAGGGCGGTAGGGCAAACGCCGGCAAGGCGGTATTCCAGGCCGTCTGGGCCAAAGGGGCCCAGCCGCGGAAGAGGGGGCCTCTGGGGCCTGTCCGCAAAAGAGGCCGCGGGCGTGCGGTGCTCTGGGCACAGGCACAGAAATGATGAATTAAAAAATCGCGCCTAGGAAAGGAGGCGACAGCCGGACGGCCGCACAGGCCATGGCCGCCCGGGCCGCAGCAGCTTGCTCTCTTGCCGCAGTGGTTGCAGAGGTGAGGGTAATGCGGGTAGGTGGTGTCCGCCATGATAGGGTGGAGGCATCGCCCCCACTCCACAGCAAGTCTCATGTCCAGAGGCGGCTCAGACTGGCCGAGCGGTTCGCCTGAGGCAGGCGGACTTTCGGCGGGATCCGCTCCAAGGAAGGCGCGCCCGCTTGGAGGCGAATCGCCAGCACCTTGGGCTCGCACCCTGGTCGCCCGACAGGGCGCCATGCCGGGTGGGGGGGGCGGTTTAGCCACGGGAGGGCGCTCGGGCGAAGCAAGCTGGGGGCCTTTCTCGCGGGCGATGATACGCCGGTGCTTGCGTATGCTCCAGATGGCGGCTGACCGAGGCGGTCGCGCCAGTGGCGGTGGGCAAGACCGTGTCGTCGCCTTTCTTGGGCTATTTTATTAGTCCTTGTACGGGTCGTGCCCGGGGTGGGCGGCCCCTTCGGGCTGTGGTGCTGCGCCCACATCGGGCGGGTGTTCCACAGTGGTAGAAGTCGCCGCTGCAGACGAGGTAGGCGGTCCAGCCGTAGGCGGCGAGGAGGAAATAGTGCCGCCAGCGTCTGCAGCGGAGTCGCCCGCGATTTGGGCGGTGTCTACCAGACTGATGGACGCCAAGTAGGCTTCCAGCGCGGTCGTGCCACCTGTAGTAGACGGCCACACCGGCTCTTGGGTGGCATGGCTTGCCGTAGGCGAAGCCATCGCCCCCACTGAGGCATCGGCCAGAGACACGGTGTCGATGTTGTTGACGTTCGCCCCAAATGGGGCGGTCATCTGGTTGGCCTCATTGTCTGCCGGGTCGAGGCGGAAAGATGTGCTCGAACTTGCCCCAGTTGGGCCACTGCCGCCCTCGTCATCAGAGGGAAGAGGCGTGGTTGTACGCCCAACCGCCCCGCGATGTAGGAGAGGGCCGCCTCCAAGTCCGCCGCGTTGGCCGAGGCGAGGCGGCGAAGATCGGCAGCAGCCGCAGCGAGGTTGTCAGATGCCGCCATTGCTCAGGCGGAACTAACAAAAAACAGGGGCAGACAATAATGCGGCTCGAGCACTCAAGCTGCGGTGTGTGCTCTCGAGTGCTCCATGTTCAAACGCACACAAGTGTGCTAACATACAAATACTGTGTTCCAACCAATAGAAAGGATCTGGGTCCGGGACCTCCACGGTGACGAGAACCTCTGACGACCTGTCAGCCTGTTGGCCAACGAAAGGGCAACCCCCTGAACGAAAAAGAGCTGTCGACCCTTTTGACGAGGTTCTGCCTCCACTGCCTCAGTGTCCATGCAACACTGGACGAGGTTGGAGAAGTCGTGGCAGAGATCGCCGATGACATCTGCAAGGCCTGAGTGTGCGGGCGTGCTTTGATTAGCAAGAGCTCGGAATGTTAGATCATGTTCATGATTCCAAGCAACCAAATGCTGTCCCGGGGCACTCGGGCGAAACGGTGAGCGCTGCATCGTGCTACAGACCCACTCGCACGCTGAGCCAAGTGAACCCCGTGACTACACCTGTCACAAAAAAATCCTCGCTGACTGATATTTTATACTTCCCATTGTAGTATAAGGTCATTAACATTAACCCGGTTAATCAACTCTACACATGCATTTCCGTTGAAACGATCAGAATCACAAACCCCATTGAAATACAAATTTCTGTGGAACGATCAATCTCGACCTCCCCCACCCTCAATCGTGCAAACCAGTGGGACGCGATATAGAATGAGATAAAGAGCTTTTTCTTCAACTGCTGGAGCACTGTTGAGCGTGCGTTGCCAGCTGGTGGCTTTTCGCCGCAGATTCACTCAAGTTGAGCTCGAGGTAGTCCTGGGACTCCAGGCTAAGGATTGCCTTAGGCTCGGGGCCTAGGCTGCACGCTGAACGCCGGTGCTGCTTCAGCTGCACGGCTGTCTGCCGGGTCACTGAGATCACTTCTTGTTCTTGTTCTCCATCTCGTCCTCCTCCAGCAAGGCAGGATTGCTGAGCTACGGCCACACACAGACCAAAGAGCCACATGCAGGAACCCTCCTTTTTGGAACCGTTGCCCTGTGCATTCCCTGCGCTTCCCCGCAAAGCACGGTCGATTGCCGTGTGGTACGCAGTCTGCTTAGCTCGCCCTGGGCTTGTAGGAAATCGATGATTTTGGGCGGTCGATGAGCCTCAAGGTCGGAGCCTACGTTACAAAAAATATGTCGTCCGTCTGCTAGAAACACACGCCAACGTGTGATCTGGGCAGCCATAATTAAGAAACGATGGAAAACTCCAGCGGATATGAGAAACTACCATGCTGATCTACAGTGTCACCATGCGTCACCATGCGAGGCTTGTTTCTCATTCTCACTGGGCATCTTGCAATATGGACATCCTGTCCTGGCTGCTAGGTGGCCTCCGGAATCTGGCATGTACTTGTGGTTACTGTGGTTAGGTGGTAGCGATTTCGTAGGCCTTGTTCACTACAGCTTCGAGTGTCCTGCAGCAGGCAGTTGAATCCCTTTGATTCTGGGACAAAATTGAGAGGGAGACGCTGTGGCGCCTGCCACTCTGCGTGAGGAGCACTCATCCATCCTACCCCCGGCAACCTCAGATTTAGCTGGCAGATGGCAATACCCAATAAATACCTGCCATCGCTTCTCATGCAAAGCAGGGCACCACTGGCCACTCGAGCCCTGTCTCGAGCTTGAGCATGCTAGCTTAACGTATCTGCTGATTTTGGATAAAGGTTTTGGAGATGATGTCTTCGAACAAGACGAACAAGACCGTCCGAGTAGTTGTCGACCGGCTTGAGAAACCAGTCAGCAAACCTCCCGACACCAAGCAGTCTAGCTACCGTCGTTGATTTCGAGGCACGGTTCAAACAACGACGTCTCCTACAAGAGGTGCTTGGAAAATGATGCGGCGAGCATCACCGCCCCGTCATGCATTAATTTGGAGAGCTCTAAAGTGGCAGAGGCCGCCCAACCAGGACGCGGCCTCCAGACCCTCCGGCATCCCGCAGACCAAATGGCTTTCTCATTTGGGCTCAGGGCTTACCCACTTTCTCTCTCTGGCTTCGACTTCCCTTTCTGCTCCTCGCTGGAGCTTGTGAAGGAGACGTCCGCAAAGGATAGCTGCATGACGCAGATTGCATCTGGAGCTCCTAAGCTCCCTTGCCTGTGTCGGGCGTGGCGAATCTGCAGGCAGATTTTCTGGCGAGGGTTTCCTGCTGAACCTGCAATACTTTTGGCTGGTATTCCTCACGCCGGACCCAGTTACCTGTACAAGTGTATGCAAAAGACGTCAAGGAGTTTGGAGATGGAATGCCTGCATTGCCTGCCTTCTGTCTCCAGCTCCCAGCCGTCAAGACCGACTTGTTCTATGGTGCTCACGGTCAAAGTCATCAGAGTCAACAGATGTCATCGCAACATCACATTCAACTCTAAAGCTTGCCATCCTTTCACTTTCTTAAGCACGGCCTCCTGCAACTCTGGGCTTGGCCTGCAGTGACCTTGGTGGCAATGCCATTGCTTCTGACATTCCCCCTGACATTCCCTAACGGCCCCATTGGCAGATCTCAAGCGCCTCAGAGCCAGACAGAAGAAGCTGACAGCTGAAGCTGCTGCGGGGCCCGAAAGCTCTTTCACGATGTGGTCCGCCAGCGCGTCGAAGAGTTGAGAGCCAGGTTCACACGGCAGAGAGGTCTGGCAGGTATCCAAAGGGCAAGAATAAACAAATGCAACCATATGGTGACCATGGTAGCCTCAAGCCGGCCCCTGCCTCGCCCTGTGCGACAGACACGGCATTGAGCAGTGAGAGACCACCACCGCGGCCCGCGAGGCAGTGCCACAGAAGATCTTGCAAAGCCCCTGACATGCAGTGCAACAAGCAAAGTGCCTCACCCATTGCCACCAATCTCTGTCCTCTGAGCTCGCCCCGACGCTCTTCAGGGAGACGGCGACACACGTCCTTCGCATACAGGAAAGCCGAACACTGGGCCACAGGCAAAGGGCAAATGGCTCTAACTCAAGCCGCTCCAGCAGGAGCTCCAGAGGTAATGCATTCTTGGCCCCCACAAGCTCCGTCAAGAGAATACCTGACCATCAGAAGCCATTTCATTCTGCCATTCTGCCGTGCACGGCAAGCTTTCGCGGCTTTAGGATTACTGACGGCTGCCTTCCATGATCATATCCCCCAGTGTTGGACTCTGCTCCGTCATTCTATGCAAGTGCTTGGAGCCAGCAACTTCCCGCAACGTCTCTTGAAATGAACTCCAGCGCCATGTCTTCACCTGCATCTGACACCAAAGGAGTCTGCAGAAACATGGGGAAATTGAATCTGAGGCCTTGCACTCCGACACTAAATGCTCACACCAGCTTTGCCAGAAGAGCAAGATGTCCACGACGGCTTCGCTGCCATCACAAGCGTCAAGGATCTGGGAGGCGGTAATAAGCCTGCACACATAGGCTCGCAAACAAAACAGGAGCCGCGAAACAAAACACTTGTGAGCATCGCGGCCACCTCCGCACATCAAAGTCTTTCAGGTGGCGTTCCACAGCGGGCCGCAGCAGCTGAGCGAGAAGGGGTGGCAGACGCTTGCCACACGCCCAGACAGCCCAGGAATCCAACAGCCAGACAACGCCTGACAAGCTCAATGCAGAAATGCCAGGAATGCACACAGCAAGGCTAAGCCAGGTGGCAGCTATAGGGAAGCGAAGACAAAGTCTTCACGTGGCAGTGTGGTGTGAGCGCTGCCTCCAGTCCACCTGCAACCCAGGCGTCACGTTCCTCTTACAGCGCCATGTCTATGTTTTGGAAAGGATGGCCGCTACAGAACACTTCCTGACCAGCTAATGCAGCAACCCAAAGAGAGACACAAATGACAGCTGGGAAACTCCCTGTAAATGTCCTTTTCTGCCTGGGGCAGCTCTGAGGAGCTCGGGCAGAACCAGCATGGCCTCCAACAGAGACCTGCCAATTTCCCCTCAAAACCCAAGTTCCTCACAACATGCATATGCCGATCTTGGGGTTTGTGTTGGGTGCACGCTCGCAGTCACAGCTAAGACAGACCCACATCTTGTAGGCAGCTTAACCCAGTCCGTGACACCTGCTGTTCAACGTAGACCAGTGGCGCGTCATCAGTGACGCGAATTTCTCCCAGCAGCTGCTGTCGGCCAAGCCTGGACAGCAGATACAGGACATCTTAGCCGGATGCTGGCTGCTAGCAGAAGACATCTTGGGGAGCACTTTCGAACAGCCACGGCTGAATCTCAAAACAGACGAACGTTTTTTGTGATGGTCAGGTACGACCGACTTTCCGCAGAACGCTGTAACAGGTCTTGAAAGCAAGATCGTCATTTACGTGACTTCCTGTCAGGGGCCATAGTACAAAATGGATTCTCGAAATCAAGTTTTGCCGAACCAACAACCACACGCGCATTTGATAATTCTTCGTCCGTCATGGAATTGATCATCACAAAATACTTAGGCGATGGTGCAGCAAGAGCCTTTTCGCGTAGTCAGTTGCAGCAGGGAAGACGAAGATAGCATGCCAAGAACAAGATGTCCAGCCAACAAGCACACATGGCTAGGTACTTGGAAGTGTCTTGCTTCAGGACAACCTTCCAAATAGGTCAAATAGGTCAATCTAAGTTTAGCTTAAAGGTTTAGATGTATACCTGATTCTGATCCCCTTGCCGTTCTGCGAATGCAAGCTCACAAATGTCCATGCATGCCAAGGAGCCTTGAGCTTCCAGAGCCAGAGCCAGGGACAGAAGATCCTCCTACCCAGGCAAATGCAGGAAGACACCTAAAGTGGATGCTGTGCTGTTCAGTGTCAACGCCGGGACCTCGAGCAAGGGCCCCGCGGTGGGATCTTCGAAAGCTGCATCCAGCAGGGGCAGCAACGACGAGGACCAAAGCGCCTGTCAAGGAACTAATCAGTGATAATCAGTAACAATCAACTATAAGAGTAAAAACGATCTTGATAGAATTAATAATAACAATAATAGCACTAAGGGTAATGATAGTGATAATGAAGCAATAATAGAAGACATAGTAGTCATTAAAGCAATTGTAATAATAGCGCGAAAGGCTCCCGCCTCGGCGAAGTGCTGGTGCAAGGCCAGCGCCACACTTGCTGTCAGGGCAGGTGCAGAAGCAGCAACCAGCTCCTTCATGGCAGAAAGCTGATGCAAGACTAGGTTGTAGGGTTTGTTGTTTTTTTTTCCTGAGACCTTTTCCCACCCGCAGGAGGAATGCCATGATGGCAAGGTCTGTAGTGGACACGCTAGCAGAAGCCTCTCTGAGCTGTGCACCCCCGGGACCCAAAGCGACTCACCAGGGAAGGCAACATGAAGCCTGCAACAGAAGCCCTTCTCAGGTATCAACCTCCCAGGAAAAAAACCAGGTAGCAAGCCGAAGAGCAACCCATTCCAGTCCTCACCCTGAAACGCAGCAAAAGTCAGCCCTTTACAACTGACCTGCACAGCGAGCAGCACAAGGATTTACAGCCTTCAGGGAACCCTACAGTTTTGGGTTTGGGGTTTGGGGTTTAGGTTTGAGGGTTGAGGGTTTAGGCTGAAAGGCTTCCAGACTCAACAGATCCTCGCCCAACACGCCGAGAACACTGCTAGCTGCCGCCTTCCTTGGATGCCAGTTAACCTACAAATTTGGCTTCGTGGAGTAAAGTTACCAGCAGAAAGACCTGAAACACTTTTTGTACTTGAGCCACACACAAGTTGAGTATCAACACCCCCCGCGCATCTTAGTGTCAACGGGGAGGCGTTATGCGAAAGAAAGCTAACATGACTTAGTCATAGCTAGAAAACGAGACTTGTTTTGGCTCGCA